AAGCACACACACGACAAACTTCAGAGACTTTACATTCCAGCAAGAGAAGGACAGCTTTATCAAAGTGCCAAGGTATTTCATTGCTTTCACAGTTGTTATAGAATTATGTATAGCAGAAAAACACTTTTGGGACAGGAAATAGCTACCTGTTAAATAGCAGAACATCCCTTTCTGTCTTCTTGCTCCTCCTAGGAAGCAAATGCCACATGACAATGTGTCTTCATTTGTCTTAAGATCGAGATATTGGAAATCACATTCAATGTGGCATCATTACAAGGCACTGCAGTTACCCTTAAGGAAGCAATAAACTAAACTTTCAATACTTAGCCATTAAAACTGGCAATGTCTTCCTTAGACAAAAGCAGACAACAGAAGTGATGTTACTTTCAATCCCCTTCCAAAAAGGAGTTCTCCTGCCGTGAGAAAAACAATCAAAAGAATTTGCACTCCACTGTTTCATTCTCTGACAAAAACTGGCTAATGCACCTACAGCTAAAACACACTTCCTTTTTCCTCCTACTTTAACCTTCAAAAAGAAACTCAAGTGCACTAAGTCTGTCGAACACACAGCTCTCCTTCTCCTGTCATTATGCACACATAATGGTACACCTAAGAGCCTCACTTAAGACTAACCGAAATAGTTTGTCTGTTCCAAATGAAGAAAAGAGGAAGAGAAAGCAGCCCTTATGCTGGAAGGAGTTGTAAAATTGGATCCTTGTAAAATCCCAAAGAAAGCAGCTGCTTTCTTTTCTCCCTGCTTTCCCCAAACGATTTACTTACTTTCAGTCAATCTCATACTCCAGATATCATAGTTTACCTTTGAATTTCTTTCACCTTAGCTAGCTTCATGGTACAGCCACTACCAAAAGCCTACTGAAAAGAAAAAAAAAAAAAAAAAAAAAAAGAAAAACCACTACTGCTTCCTCCCTGCCCCAAAAACACACAAGCCCAGGGAACTGAAGGAAAAACCCCAGAGCAGCACAACGCACTGGGTTGTAACCAGTTCTGCAGGAGCAGTCTGCCTCCCTGTGGCTCAGCTAAAATCAATCCAATTTCTGCAACTCATTCTATCGCACCCAGAAAATCTGGCAAGCCAGAGGCTTAATGGGCCTTTAGTCCAAAGTGTTTCAGAGCTGGTTTTTTTTTCCACTTTTTTTTTTTTTATTTTTAATTTTTGTTTGGTTTTGGAGGAGGGAATATAATGAAAAAGAGGTTTCTAATTTTAAACATGGCAAAAATTATCCAGCTTTGATTGCCTAGTAACTGTTTTACTCTGTTTCTCTAAAGTGAGAGGAGGCACAGCAGTGAGGGAGGGGGAAGAGGTCTACATTAAAAGAAAAAAAAAAAAAAAAAACAGATCACCACCTTCACATAGCAACAAAAGCCAAAGCTTGTCAGTGCTTTAGTACCTAAATCCAGAAGACTCCAAACATTGGCTTAGCTGCCGCTTTGCCTAGCAGGCATCTCCTCTCAATGCCTCCGCTTACAACACAGTGCTTACAGGTCTCCTCCAGGGTACGCCCATGAGGATTTCACTCTTGGCAGCAATTGAGGTGTTTGGTGCTTTCCTTCACCCTGCCTGAAGGGCTCCATTCAGCAGGCCTTCTGCTGTAATGCTTGGAAGGACAGGCTGTTTTGTTGTTTCATACCCAGTCGTCACTCATTTGCGGAAGAACTTAGTTGTTAAGGGACGCAAAACAAAACCCGAAACAAGTTAAATGATTTCCAAATACACCGATTTTGATTCACACCACTCTTTGAAGACTGGGGCAGTATCACTGGGGGATATCACCAGGGCGATTCCAGCTTGGGAGGGCACGCATCATTTCTAACCATACTGAAGAAGCTGCTCTACTTTGTTCTGGGACACAGAGCACAGACTACATTTGCAGTGGGTTAAGAAATATGCCCACAAGAAGGAAAGTTCCAGTCTCCACTCCAAAGGCTGTTTAATAAAAAGCACAGTAAGTGAGCACAAGAGCAACCCACATTTTTCAGTCTCACAACTGCTGGGCTTGCGACTTGCTTTCTTCTGTGTTACAGACTCTGTCTGTGGAACTATTTCACTAACCATTAAACAAGTGAGACAGACTTGCTCTTTCCAATCTACAACTCAGTGACCTGGCTGGACAAGGAGCAAGCTGAACCCCTGGTTCTCATGCTTAAAGTCACTTTCATTGGAGATTAAAAAGAATATGAAGGAGAAGTGATTCTGTCACCTCTAAGCACATTTGAATGAAAAGCTTCAACTTTGCCCCTTCTCTTCCTTTTAAGAAAAAAAGAAAAAGCGGTCTCATACCTTAAATTCCAGAAGTGGAAGAAGTAATTTCATCCTACTACTGCTTTGTGCCTAGTTCCAAAACATGAAATATTTCTCCTGAGTGTTATTATTATCCACATATTTATTAATGAGATGGCTTCTACTTTGTGTGCTGTAGCTCCACTTGTGCACACTCAGCTCCTTCTGCCTACCTAGCCAGAGCAGCGCATACAGGGCTGTGGCTCCCACCACTGCTCCCAGAGGCTGAATGCTTGGTCAAGGATACTGCACACTGGAGCATCCAAATGGCTTGAAATGTTAGAAGTGAAGAACCAAAATATGTAGAAGCTTACATCAACTCTGACACACCTCTACTAAGAAAAAAAATAAAGCATTCTTCTCTGTTTCTCAGGTGTAAGGCCAGAAAAGGGCAAATACTTACATCTCTTTTAAAGGAAATGGGAATTGACTGTGTCTTCACAGCACAGAGTGTCATACCAAACAAGTCCGGGGTGTCCAGACAATACATCAGGTCTGAATATGGAAAAAAATCATTCTTATGGAAAAACCATTCTGTTTGTCTAACTAGATCTGTAATTAACATGCAAATTACTTATTCACATAAATGAAGAATGATCCCCTTCTGGCTTCTGTAATTTTAGAGCCTCAACATGGCATACACTTCAATTTATAAGAAACGATGCTCTTCTGTAAGCAACCCTGTTTTCATTGCATTGAAATAGTGGGAAAGCAATGAAAACTATGTGAAGTCATACAAACCAAGAAATTTACTACAGCGGGGTTTCTGTTCATAAGTTTAAGGCAGTTTGTGCTGTTGCTTTGTACCAGGGTCTGACACTAAGTTAATAAGGCTTTTATCGAGATTCAAAAGCTATTACATTACACACATCTTCCCATACTTACATTTGCTAACCTACACTGGGGCCCAGGATTAAATTTTACGCTTCACTGACAGAAAATAGAATCCTCAATCACCAATCCACACATAATTGTTAATTTCCCCACTTGTTTCTCATGGCCATAGTACCTATTTTGTTCCTTACCACAAGCTTAGTTTAAGCTTTCACATTCTTAAGCCCAACACTGAGCTTCGGCTCATGCTTACAGAATATCTCATTTACTTTAAACTCATCTTTGCTAAAACTCTCCAGTTACCCATACTGGTAAGGTATATTAAACTGCTAGCAGAATGATGACAAGTTACAAGGCTGAAGCAAGCATCAGGGATTGTAGATCTCTTCAACCCATAATAGAAAGTCATACTACTATCAATAAGGAATAGCAGCAGGTTCTAGTAGATTAAGCACTAGAGTTGTTCTCAGAAAAACTGGTTTCTTTTCTGTTTTATTCTCACCTGGTCTTCTAGGTGACCTTGTGCAAATCACCATCTCCATGCTGCCGTTTCCCCAGCAGTAAAAATGAATTGAGCTCAGCTACAAATCTGACTGGGAACTCAAAATGAAACATACTGGGAGTTAAAAAATCTATTTCCCTATCTGCGGATACATGCTCCTTTGATAGCTTTGCGTTATCCCATTATGCATCAGCAGTAGCGTAAGATTGCTTTTAGTTTCTAAACACACTCTGGTGGTTCCTCAAGAGAGGCTTCAGGGTACTGCCTTACTTTTTATCTCATGCTTCATCTATTTCCGCTACTGTATCTGCTCTGAGAACCTGTATATAGGATACAAGCTTAACACTGCAACATACTGCTGTGTCAACAGCCACTGTCCCGCAGACACAAGGGGCAAAGAAAAGGACACAACAGAGCACTGAGGCAGCCTGAGAGCGGTTCTCTCCCCAGACCCCTGTTCCCCTCAGTAACACCGTAAGTCAGCTTGCAAGCTCCGCTCCCATGGCTTGTACAGGAACCAGTCAAGATCTTCGCCCGGAACACACACACTGACGAGCAGCACTGCATCAAAGTAACCGTACAGAGATCCCCGTGGCTGTGCTGGAGGAGCACCAGTTGGCTCACCTGCCAGCAGTGCCATTTTTAGCAAACAGCACGGCTCAGCCGCGGAGCGCTCTGCTCCTCACCCTCTGCCCATCTCTGGGTTCGCCTGGGAAATCTTTTACAAGAAAGCTCACTTTCCAGAGGCTTGGCCACCGCAGCAGCAGGGTTTGCGGAAGCTCCCGACTTTGGAGAGGCACATGCAAATCCACGCATTCACAACTCATTATTCCAAGCGGAGTTATGGGGTGAAAGACTCTGCCTCGCACCTCGCCCTACCATAGCACCGCTCTGACCCACGCCGATGGGAACGGCGGAGCGTTCAACTTCCCCCTTTTTCTCCCAACGACGGACCACCAAACCACCTCCAAACGCTCTCCCAGAACAATACCAAGGGGAAAGGACCATTAAAACAAATAAAATAAAACACGATGAGCGGAGAAAGCCCGACGCAGCCCCGGCCCACGATCAGCCCGGCTCTCCGGCGGGTAGGAGAATCCCACGTAAGAAGGAGATGCCCGGGGTGGGAACGACGCCCCACTGCCCCCGGCCCGCGACGTGGCTCAGCGCGGTTGGGCGGGAGCCAGTCTGAAGTCCACCGAGCAGCCGCCCGCCCCGTGGAACGCGCTGGGGCGGGAGGAGAAACATAAAAATAAAGGGGAAAGGGTGGGGAGGAGCGGCGCGGAAGGGCGCCCCCCCGCACACGCCGAGGGCGCCCCGCAGCCCGCCGGGGGCTCGCAGCCGGGCACGGCGCCTCGCGCTCACCTTCCTGCCGCCGCCGCCGCCGGCCAGCGCGGCGCTGCCGCCCGAGTACATGTAGTAAGCGATGCCCAGAACCCAGAGGAAGGCGAAGCAGAGGAGCAGCCGGGACCTGCGCCGCATCGTCCCCCGCGCCGCCGCCAGGCCACCAGGAAACGGCCAGCAGCAGCAGCAGCCGCCGCGCCCGCCGCCACCGCCGCCGCGCAGGGTCAGGGGGCAGAGGGCGAGCGCCCGCCCCCCGACCAATCCCGCGCCGCCCGGCCCCGCGGGGGGCGGGGAAGGGCGGGGCCGTCGGCATCGCCATGGTTGCAGCACGCCGGGCCGCCGCCGCCGCTCCCCCGCGAGTTCAGAGACGCGCGCCGCGCCTGGCGGCCGGCGGACAGACCCAGGCGGCGGCGGCGGGATGCTCGCTGCTCCGCTCCTCCTGTTCTTGAGGCCCCTTAGGCGGGCGGTGGTCCGGTGGTCCTCGCTACGCCTTGGAAAGGGGCGGCTCAGGGCTGCAATTCTAAGCTTTAAGGTTTTCTCCGTTGCCTCGCTAAGTTTTCTCAACGGGTGGCTTTATCACCGCCCATTTGGGCCCGGCACCGCTTTTCTCTGCTCCGTCTGTTCGCGCCACTATCAGACTTCTGCCGGTGCGTTTGCACGGACGGCCGCAGAGACCCTCTGGACTGCGAGTCATACCAGGGTGCAGCAGGGGCTCGGTGCTAAGTTTGCTGTGTTAGAGAGAAAAGATACAGCAGTCCAAAGAAACTGCACAGATGCTCACTTGCCTCTCCAGAGAGCCATGTCTGGCCTGGAACTGCCCAGGCAGAAGTCACCTGGTGTGCTCTCCTGCCTGCCACAGTCCCACGGGAGGGGAGGGATGGATGAAAAGTCAGAGGAAGAAATCAAAGCTGAGTAATTCCCATAGGAAGCATAAAATAACATCACTTCTTTCTTCTGAACAAATGACTCTTTCAAATAAACTCAACATTGTGATTCTCGATGCGGCTCTAGGCAGCCTGGTGTAGTGGTTGGCAACCCTGCAGGCAGGGGGATTGAAATTAGATGATCTTTGAAGTCCTTTTCAAGCCAAGCCATTCTATGATTCTTGTGTTTGGAGGGAGATAGAGAGAGGCATCAATTTGTGCAGAACGCAAATTTTGGAATCAAACAGCTGGCATCCCTTGAAGTGAGGTACACTGGAGAGTATGGGCTGCCAGGAGACACACACATGTTTAGGATGGGATTTTTTTATTTATCCAAAGAGTGTTAGATGCAAGTGAGCACCGTAACTGTAAAAACCTGCATCTAAAAAGGCACACACATACACACCACTCCAAAGGCTAAATTCTCATTACCAATGTTTCCAGTGTAATTTGGAGCAGTCTCAGCAGTCCAGGGTTGTCAACATGCTGATAAACTCCAGCTCTGTCAGCTGGAGGTGAGATGGCGAAGCAGCTTCCCCACTGCTGTGCGGACTCCTTCGCCAGGCAGATGTGCTGGGGGGAGAACACTGTTCCTTCTATGGCCCTGCAGAGAAAACTTCACACATGGATATGTCAAGTAATCAATTCTGGAGCCATAATCCCATTTAACCTTACACATTCTGCAGGCCACTTACTCTTCAAATGCCTTGCAAAGCCTACGGAATCTTTTCTTGCCCTTTTCATAGTCTAAAAGATGTTGAGACAGCCTTCAAAGGTCCTCCTGAAGCCTCAGGTATTTTCACTGATTTTAGCAATGTGCTTAGATAGATTTTTCCCTTTCCAGCAAAATTAGCCAGCCATGCATGTACAGAAAATCCTTCTGTAGCTGCACACTCCACAAGCTTACTGAAATAATCCTCTGCACATGCTCAATCACAGTTTTCAAAGCCTTATAACTCAGGCAAATCAAAACTAATTTCCTCTTGAACAAGCAAAGGCACATCTACTTAAAGGAAGGCTACTTACATGTCAGAGTTCACTTCTCAGCCTTCTGCTGATAAAGTTGCAGAAATGCTCAAGAAATGCTGTAAGGATCTATTTAGCTCAAAAAAAAAAAAAAAAACCCCAAAAAAAAAAAAAAAACACTTTTTCTTGCCTCTTCCCTCCTTCCCCCCACTCTCCTGATATTCTGAACTGGCTGAACCAGTTCTGTTCAAATCCTTCCAAATTATTCACATTTGGAAAAAGCCCAAAGCCGGAAGATTTCCTTCTGAAGCACTTTTATTTCAGTGACCACAGGAAACATAGAGGTTTAGGATGGAAAATATGATATAGCTTTAACTTTAGGAAAAGCTGCCTGTTGTATTACGACACATTTGCATGCACATACCTCTTTGCCTCAGAAGTCCTAACATGTTTAGTCAGCAAGTCAAGTCAGATACGCACACACACAAAAAAAGGCAACCTTCAATTAAAGCAAGGAATAGGAGAAAAAAAAAAATGTAAAACATTTAAAACCGATTTTTCCTAGCACATTTCAAAAGAAAATATTAGCATATTTTAAGAGCAGCATTGCTAGAATGATTCACTGAATTCAAATGCTTCTGTATCAACCACAGTGCTTTAAACAAAAGGGAGATCAATCATGTGAAAGTACAAATAGGGGTGAAATTTGCAGAAGGATTCATCAAAACTTTTTCTTTGATCTGTAATGCAGCACCTAGATTCAATGGGCCAAATCCTGCTCTCCTTAGCTAGGGTGTAAACCAGGGGTTATTTCACCACATACATTTGAGAGCAGGTATAGAAACAGACACAAGTAGGATCAGAGGCTAATTCAGGGTGTTAGCATTCACCTGCTTGTAACTAAAGACCACAAACATTGCTCAGCCTTTTCTGGAGTGAAATGACCTACCTGGAGGTAAATGAATACTCCATCAGTGAGAACGGAAAGCAGTCCTCCCCTCTAGAAATAAGCAAATCAATCCCTTACTCACACACACAGTCTTGCCCCTGGAAAGATGGGAGTAAAGATCAGGTCTAAAACCCAGAAAATATGTTTTAAACACTTTTAAAAGCCCAAATTCTGACCAAGCTGCCTGAATCTTTTTGATATACAGAAGCTAATGTTCATAACAGATTCATTTCAGATTATATTTTTTCAAAGTCACGCAGTTATGTCAGAAGGTATATTATTCCCTCCCTCTCAAGAAAATGGTTACTCATTAGCCTGATGTAAGACGTGTTATAACAGAGAAACCACATATTAACAAGAAATGTAAAATACATCTGCAGGGATAAAGGTTTGTTAATACATAGAGAGCTTGAGCTGAATACTCAGCCTGACTGAGTTTGTGTTTGTAGTGAAAGAATTGTGTTTGTAGTGAAAGATCCTGAACCTGCAAACGTTTATGCAAATGTTTAACTTCATTCAGTGCACATTCCCACCGGAGTCAGTCGGACTACTCAGATGTTTGAAATTATATGCTCATGGCTGAGTACTTGCAGGATTAAAGGTTAAGTGCAGCTAGCAGGTCTGAAAAATCTACGTGGGTGTTTTGCAATTCCTCACTGCACAGTGGCAACAATGAGACACAGCCTACCTCCTTCGTTAAAGACATGGGAGTCAGCATGTCCTTTCCCATCTGTTTAGATGACAAGAACTATGTTTGTTTAATTTTTTAGCACAGCTTCTGATGCTACCCAGAGTAGGCAGACATGCTGGCAATAGTGTTCTAGAGTGGCTCACTTCCAGAAAATCTTGTTACCCTCCAAGAACGCTGTTGGAGCTGTTAAAACCCCAAGCAGCAAACATTGTATCATGCAAGTTTCACCTTGAGAACAGCGTGTCATCCTGCCTGACCAAAGAGTACACCTTGCGAAGCCGGAGTACTTTCAGGTCCATTAGAGCTGAACTTCTCTCTCTGCAGACTTTGACATCAATAAGCAATGACTATTTCCCCTGGAAGAAGGTTTTTGGTTGTTTTTTTTTTTTTTTTTTGATGCTGTTTCCCCACTAGAGATCAAATAATACATTACATCACGTGATGCAGATAAAGCAAACACCATATTTTCTCGCAGAGGTTTACAGTGTCACCTTAAGTCCATGTTCTTCCAAGGCAAATAATCTGCATTTGGAAGTTCTTCTTCTCTATTAAAGTTGAAAGTTCAACATCCTTTGCAGTCTTTTTTGTTTTATGAACAGAGGAAGTAGACTTTTTTTTTTCCTTGCAGGTGGTGAAAGCTAAACTGTTTTTTTGGCTAGGATAGAGTTAACTTTCTTTCTGGTAGCAGGTTCACTGCTATGTTTTGCATTTTGAACTGGGCTTACACTAAGCTGTAAGGACATTCCAGCTTCCGGTGCTGTACTGCCAGCACGAGGCTGGGAATGCACATGGAGATGGAGGGACAGAGCCAGGACAGCTGACCCAAACTGGCCAAAGGAATGTCCCATATCATACAGGGTCATGTGGAACAATAAAACTGGAGGAGCTGGCCAAGGAGCTGCCACTGCTGAGGAACTGAGTGTGCAGAGTGAAAACATGGTGATCAATTGTTTTGTGCATCACTTGTCTTGCATATTCTTCTGTCATTATTATCATTGTTATTATCCCCTTTTCCTTCTATGTCCTATTACACTGTCTTTGTAACAATCCATGAGTTTCACCATTTTTCTACTTCTCTCCCCCCCCACTCTACTGTGGGAGGCGATAGCAAACAGCACCATGGTGCTGAGATGAATGCTGGGTTAAAACACAACAAGACAAAGAAAGAACAACTCAGCCTTCGGTAGGCCTCCTGCTAAGGATGGCAGCAACCAGTACAAACTACAGATGCACTGCCAACTATTCTTCCTAAGCTGAGTCACTTAGTGAGTCCGATTGAACTTCAGCAGCACATAAAAAAAAACCCCTCTTGCAGCATTCTGGAGGCTGATCATCAGATTTCAAGATGTGATATGGCTCAGAAGCATCTCTCAAAGGTGATGATAGGCAGGTGAGAATCAGCCATGGAGAGAGACTTGCCGAATCAGCGACCTCACCTTTGATTGGGACAATTCGATCCTCATTTGTTGCATTTATCTGAATTCTCAGGATCACGCTTGATTTCTTGTTGTTGCCAGGAGTGGTAAAGACTAGTGATCTACAGTCTGAGACAGCGCAGGAAATTCCTTCCTCTCCTCTCAAGCATGCTGTCGTCACAGTGATGTGCAGCCATAGGACTATGTACTAGCCTAGCATCTGAGGCTACAGGTGAACACAGAGTGCTAATGCATAGTACAGTAGTCTGGTTTTGAGAAAAAAATAGATGTGAACTCTTCACACAGTGTCTCTGTAACCTCAACTGGTATTTTATATGTTCAAACTTATAATCCAGATCAGCAATGTGAGGCTGTCTATGATACAGCAAAGCATAGAAACTGCTGCTAAACTAGCTGACAGCAAAATTCCTGGAGAATTGGAAAGAAGTTTCCTCAACTCAAAGCATTCTGCCAGAAGCAGCTTTTACTCATCTCTTTAACTAAAATCTTTCCTAGCTAATTGCACTGACACCAGCTCACCACATGAGATATGAGAGAACGAAGACAAGACAAAATGGAAAGAGGAATGAAGGAAGATCTGTAGGAAGGGAGCTGAGATTGCAAGGAAGCCATGTAGGGCCTTCCCATTTGAAGTTACAGAGCTGTATTCAGACTATCTGTCTGCAGCATCCAAAGTGGAATGAATGGCGATTCAGACAGCCTGCTTCCCAAGATGTCAGACCTTGCCTTCTTATACAATCAACAGGGAGAGGATGATGCTTAACTACTTAACATAGGTACCATAAATGCTTCTCTTCAGTGACTACACGTTTCAGAAGGGGAGTGAGAGTAAGCCTTTCTATATAATATCTTAGCTTCATTTGGATAATGGAGTGGAAAAAAAGTGGAAAATGTCTCCTTACTTTGTCTTCGCTTCCTTTATAGTAGGTGTTAAAGTGATTTCAGCTAGAGCCACTGAAAGCAGGTTTTCCGCTACCTGGAGAAGCACCCTAATCACTGACAATGACAAGGTAATTCCAGAGGTGCCATAACAGACAGGCTGAATAGAGCTCGTGTATATATATATTTATTTTTATTTTTTTTAAAGAATAATGAGAGGAAATATTTCTATGTTCACACTGTTGTCTCCCACTCAGATGCACACAGAAGAGCCCATGCCTCAGAAGTGATGTGCTGCCTGGAGCAGCCTACCTACACAATTCATCCTGGGCACTACATGGTCTTATGGTCAGCAGTGGTGCACATTCCCAAAGGCTTCTCCATGCTTGACAAGTGACACACACCTGGCCTAGCATCATGCCTACTTTTTCCTTTTACAACCACAGCCAAACAAATCCCAGTGATTCATTTTTAATCGATACTCTAGATTGTACTCCCAGATATTGCTCAAGAATATTTTGCATTGTGCAATTAGAAGTAGTCTTTTCCCACAGCACATTAAAAATAAACATGTCACTTTATCCTGTTCTTTTGCATACTTGCCAGTTCATGAAATGTGGTGTTTGGATCTCACAGTCTTTATACCAAATGACATAGGTTCTTCTGTATCACACGTAAGAGCATATTTTGTGCAAGACAGAAGAGATGCTCATAGCTGCTTCAGTTCACATACTCTGTATAAGTCATATATTGATTTCTCCTGAATTTAATCTTTCAATATCTTGGAACAGACAATAAATGGGCTCACTCACCACAGGCAATGGAAGTTGACCCCCCCTTCGTGGCCTTTATAACCCTTTTATCTTCAAACCTTTATCATCATCTGCTGAAATCACGAAAGACGTTGTTGGTTTCACTCCGTTTTCAGAAACAAATCATGAGAAATCACTTCTACAGCATTCCACTTCCCACAGTGGTAGCCAGATCCACCCTCTATGTAACACTTCTGAACCACGATGAACTTGGCCCCAACATCTATCACACAAAATAATTCAAAAGAGGAAAAAAGGATTGCACCATGTATTTTCCATGCCCTTTGGTCTTTCAAGAGTTTCAGGTAAAGAAAGTGTTTTCTTCCAAGACAAACAGAAAATAAAAGACCATTCCATCATGTTTTTATAAGATCTGCAGGTTTGTGAACTGATTCTACATCTTTTTCCTTTCTCGTTCAACTGCAGCACCATACAATGTTTTATCTGGCTTTCTGAACTACTGAACTGAGAGAGACAAGTACCGCATGGAGAAATGGCCAGATAATTATTTGACTTTTACTTGTAAATTAGAATCTTCCTGTTCATACGGGTGTAAATGAGGCCTCCTCAGCTGAAATAATACTTTTGGCAGCAGAAGTTCTCCGGCAAGATTATTCCTTCTATATAGGAATATTCTATCTTTTGTCTGAGAGAGAGATACCTGCTTTAATTGTCGTCTCACATGCACTGATGGAAACTGGGCATCAACTCTGCAGAAGGCCACTTCTCTGCAACAGGATGAAAGTGGTGTAAGTGGAGAAAAATAAGCAGCTTTCTCAGGGAGTGCTAGAAAAGGAGGAGACCATCAAAAGAGAGAGGACACACCCTCTTCTTGGGCACATGTTAACATATCCTGACTTAGGACAGCCTGGCACAAGAGATGTGGCTACACACTGCAGCCTTTCTCCATCACTGGTGAAGGAGAAAATCCCACACTCTAGGAAGTGCTCTCTACTGCAATGCTGGGAATAGGGAATGCTATGATGCTGAACAAGAAAACTGCCGTTTCTGATTTCCCAGCTTTGTAAGCAGCATTTCTATCATATACTTGTTTTTCAATTATCTTGTCTGAGTGATCCCTTCTGTATGGAAGTCCCAGAATAATGTTACAGGAACAAACATCTTTGGCTGCATCGCACAGTGTAAAACCAGAAAAATCTGTGTCCTTGCTACAGAAGAGATCACTAGATACTTGCCTAGGCACACTAATGTGCCTGCAGAGGTGCAGCAGGACAGAAGAGACAAATGGTGCACATGCAGTATTGACTTTGGCAGCTGTATGCCACACGAAGCATAGTTGAAACTCTACCTCTAAACAGCAGAGCCTCTGCCAAGCTGAGCAGTGTCTTACCCAAACCATGATCTGAGTCATCTGCCATTTCAGCATCATGCTTGCTACCTGCCCTGAGGCAGGTCAGACCTGGGGCTCCTGCTGATGAGAGCAGAGAGCAGGCAGGAAGCTGTGTGCATTGCCACACCTGAAGGCAAGGATCCCATCAGGAAGATGTTCCTGTCACAGCACGCTAGCCAGGCACACATCTACATACCACAGACAAACCCTGTACTTCAGAAGTAACTCCCTGTGCTCCCACACTTTCACAAAGCTCTGTCAAGGCACTGCAAGAGGACTTCAGCCAGAACAGAAGCAATATTCCCTGTGCTTGGGCACTGGGGTTTTCCTACTCTTTGCAGAGCTGTATGCAGTTGGGAAGCCTCACCTGCTGCAGAACCACTATCAAATTTTATCTCTCTCTTCCTTTTTAATGTTTCAGCTTATTAACTCCACAGATTTCATCTTTCTTCTTGGCAGGCGGAATTCTTTTAAAGTCAGTGAAGGGCAGTGCATTTTCTTGCTGCAATTAATCACATGCTCTCTGGCATGTGACTAAATAACAATAATTAACCCAGCAGCTGGAGTTTCCCTGGGTTGGACCATGATGCTCTGTGCTGGCTTCTCTATAGTGTTTGCTTGCTCTCAGTTTGTCTACACTGCTTTCTTGGCTAGCTTACCTTAAGGCATACCATGTGCTTGAGTAACAATAATAAATAGGAAAAAATGAGGTAGTTCATGTGGTTATTATTTTAGTTAGATTTTCTGTTCTAAAAGCCAAGAAAACATCAGCAGGCCCAATACACCCAGAAGAACAGGTTGTTTTTTGTAATTTTTTTTTTTTTTTCTTTTTTTAACTCTACTCACTAAAAACATTGAGCTGTTGCATAGCTGTATCAAAGAGTTTGATGGGACACCAAATTAGCTCAGAATCCCACTGGTACTTTAGTTGCTGGATTTGGTCAGCAATGAGCTCATATAATGGCTGACAAAGAGAGAGAGGAAAGATGTCTGCATTTGGAAGACATGAACAGATTCAGATCTCAGATGCTCATCGGGGTCAGCCTGCACATGTCATTCTTTCAGTTCTTGAAAAATTGTACAAAGATAGTGCACAGAAAAGAAGGCTTGAAATAAAATGCCAGTAGTCCTGACAAGATTCTTTAGCATGCAGGTGACAGAGCACCAGCACAGTTTGCTAAGGAGAGAGAAGCTGTGGAGTCACCTCCATGGAGATCTTCACAAGCCACCTGGACTTGAGTCTGGGCAGCCTGCTCTGAGAGTCCCTGCTCAAACAGTTGGACCAGATCACCTACAGAGGTCCCTTGCAACCTTAGTCACACTGTGATCCTCTGACTCCTGCAGCCCACTGTCCCAGCCAAGGAAACAGAGCTCTATTGGGAACGAGGCAGTACTTAGTAAATGTCTCAGAGTAGCCAGTATGCTTCTGACAGCCAAATAAATGCAAAATAAAAGGGCTCACATTTATAGAGACATGATAGGTCTGCACTGAGATTCATCATATGCAGGAGTTACTTCTTCTAGACTTGTGTTGATTCCATGGGAATGAACTCTTCACAGAGAGACCTCTCCAATGTAAGATAGCCTACTACAGTTGTGCTTCTATTCTGAACTCCCAGTGAAAAGTGACGCTACCAAGAGCTGAGGCAAGTCTGAATAAATTAGTTATCTGAGTCAAGGTCTCTTCATAGCATGCAACCAGTCACCACCTTCTAATCTAATCCTTCCTACAAAGATTTTCCTTTGCCTTCCTCAGGAAGCACTCAGAGAGCTGTGAAATGGACTTATGTTAGGCCATTTGTGGTGGATCAGATCCTACAGCACGTTATGAGCAATGTTTGCACTTGCAGTAGGCTCCCCCATTGTTAGTTGTCGCAAAGATACAACTAAGAATGTATGCTGCTCTCAGTCTTGCTGACGCCTTTAGTAAAGCCTGCACAGATCCTGTATCTGCTCTACTGAAAAGACACCAGTATAGAGGCTGCTAATCTAGCACCATTCTGAACCACTAATTTCACTAGGACAAATAAACAAAAACAGCACTACCACCAGCAATAACAAAACTGATGCAATTGGCATTTACTATATTTTCAGCTCATTATTTCCACTGGAATTTCAGGCACGAAAACAACCCCGCACAGGAAAAATAGCAATCAGGTATAGGTAGAATGAATATCCTCTGGAAGCAAAGAGATATATCTTGACAATTGATTACACAGATGGGAAAATCTTATGAAGAGTGGCAAAGCTGACAACAGTTTGGGAGCACTGGCAACATCCCAAAGGCTAATGAAAGTATCCTCTCCATTCAGTGTTTCTTGACATCTCCCCCGAGTGCAAGGTTAGAAACTGTACATTTTTTGTGTTGAGACAAATTCTTTCAGGCTTGTCACAAGTACAGATGCTGCAATTGCCAACCCAGGGCTATAAGACTCAAAAAAGGCTATACTTCTGTCTTTTTTTTTTTTTTTTTTTTTTTTTGCGCTAAAGATGACTCTTGTAACATCTTGACTCCTGAGCAAGATGAATTCTGTCACTGTGCCAATTATTTGCACTAGGCAGTGGAGGGCAAAGATAAGGTTTCAGATGTGCCCCACTTATGTGTCAAAATACTGCAACACTGACAAGTACTTTAGTGCCATGTATTCCCAGAATACTAAACTTCTTTCTAGGACTGCCTTTTACTGTACAGTATGACTCCTTTCATGCTTTTGAATATCAGCATTCCTTTTCACTTGCACTTAGGCTAGAAAGAGAAGAAAGCCTTTCACAAAAATTAGGATTATGTTTTTTCCAGTCTCTGCTCGTGGATGTAGCACCTGTGAACTATCCACACAAGCAGAGATTAGAAGTCTCAGAACTAAGATATACTTACAGCTTTTCCACCCTGAAGTGTTCTTTATCAGATCTTAACCTACTATTTATCTTAGCAAGATTTAAAAAAAGGGATGCTTTATTACCTAGCTCAATATCTTCTTGCCATCTTCAGAGATGATGGAGTGGAGAGTGCACTTATAAAATCTGCAGATGACATGAAGGTGGGAGTGGATGCAAGCACTTCAGAAGATGGGATCAGAATACAAAATGATCTCAAGACATTAGAGAAATAGCCCAAAATGAGCAAGTTGGAATTCAGTAACAACCTGTACAAAGCACTGCACACGTAAAATGAAAGATCAAATGTACAAATACAAAACGCAGAATCATGGAAGAGGTGAAGAGACTGCAAAAAAGGATGTGAGAACTACAGGTAGGGCTCAAAGCAAATATGAGCGAAGCAGGAAAATCTCACACTGATGTATTATTACATGTGCATCATATGCAATGAGATTATTCAGCTCTGCAGGGCACTGGTTCTCACACAGCTGGAGAACTGGATCTAGTTCTGCATGGCTTGAATAAGAGCAACAAGAATAAAAGAGGTTTAAGCAACATGATCAATCAGAAATAGCTCAGATAATTAAATTGATCCTTGCAGAAGCTCTAAAGGGAGGTTTGATAATAATTTACCAATATGTGAAGAACTGTTCAAGTGAGGACAACAATCACTCCCTTAGCCTAGTTTTCAGGAAAGAATCAACTAGATCCTACAGAATAACAGATTTAAGTCAGATATCAGCAGAAAATCCAAGGCTGCCTAACAATCTTTGGTAATGACTCAGCTCACTGGATTTTCAGGCATGAAAACAACCCTACATAGGAAATATAGCATCAAGTAAAATTCTTCTGGAAAAAAAGAGACTAGGGACTCTCTGCTAGTGAAGGACTTCAGGAGTAGATCAAGCGGTACTAAAGTTGTCCCTTCTCCAAGAGGGATCACATACACATTCTCAGTGCACTTACCCATCTTCTCAGCTTTCTCAAACCTGTCTTATCAATACCTCCATCCAAATGCTTTGATTTGCAGGTGCATACAGCTGAAGTTCAGCTGCAGGTGTTTTTCTGTCTCTTCAATTCTTCAGTAGTTATTAATATGGAATCAGATGCCTTTCCTTTCTCATGCTCTAGGTGAGCAAGAAGGAAGCACTCTTATCATCTTGCTCTGCTCCCTGCTTGCACACATGGGTTTCCCAACAGTAAGAGCTGTGGGGGCTTGCATTCCCCCTGCTCTCCCCAGTGCACTGCACACTCTACCAACTATGTGGCATGGCTACAAGTGAGCAATCACAACTAACTCCTTTCCAGTCACTCTCAGATATAATTCTGAGCTGGGACTCCACCTGTAATAGCTTCCAGTCATCCTGAATTTTTATCCTCACAGTGGTGGAAAGTAGAGAACGCTTTTTTCCAGGGCTCAGCTATCTGTGGAGACCCTCAGGCTCTAATCTCTACCTCACTGAATACAAAGCCTGAGGCTGCAGTATTTCAGGGACTCACAGCCCGACCTGTGGGATGCAGTGCAAGTGCTGAGTGACAGTGACTTGCTGCCTGAATCTGCTCTGCCATGTGCTGCAGACTGAGGTGCAGCATCACCACATGCGAGATAACTTTAAATTATAAGAAACAGCTGAAGGAGGAAGGAGCACCATGCACACTGATCTGCACTGCTTCACAGTAGCTTTTACAAATGACTTTGTTCACAGCCCTAAGAACCCCAGCAATGCAATTAGCACGGAGCATAAAGCTGGATAGCAACCTCAGGTGTGCAACCAGCACAGGTAAACAGATGGGACAACTGCTTGCATCGCCCTGCAGGGCTTCTGTTATGGATGGAGAATATTTTTCCTCTGCCCCCACAGACAGCCAAACCAATGTCAAGAGGTAATAAAATGAAACGTATAAGCTTTACTGCTGTAATTCTTTTTTCTTAGAAATTAAAAAAAAAAAAAAAGGAAAAAACTGTGATTGCCTGCATTTTCACTAGGCTTTTTAGATCAAAAAAGACTTTAAATTTGAAAAATAAAAGGCTTCTGAAACTCTAACTTGCTCCTAACAAGCTGCTGAGATCAGTGAGAAATCAACTGCACACATGCACACAAGTGATCTCAAGCCACCCCAGAAAAGGTTAACATTTTTAACATCCTTCAGTACCTTTCTTCTTTCCTTCTTTTCACAGCTTTTTTTTTCCCCCAGCTTCTTTCTTCCCATTCCCTAATTTCCCCTTCCAGCCTCCCTTAAGAAAAATGAACTCTCAATAAATTCCACTTCTTTCAGCCTCTTTCACTTCTCTTCTAGCCCTGTACTCTAATACTTTTCTTTCTTCTACTTCCTTTACTTACTATACCCAGGGATACATTTCCTCAGCCATTTACTGATTTATTCATATATTTACTGCTTTTGGCTGTTGTCCTCACAGAAGCCCTCACATTTCCCATCGGCTCCCAGATTTGGCTCATGTCCCTGCAGCTGGAGAAAGCTTCCCCTCTAGCTATGGGCACACCACAGCTGCAGCTGACCTGACACCCAGATTTCAGTCAGTTCAGTTTTAACAGTGGGACCAGAGCTCTGAAGGGCATAGTATGGACTGCAAGATCTGCCTAGGATTCTAATAAATTCATGGGGGCTTAATGGTAGCTCACCTTTATGCTGCAACAGCTGCACAATGTCCAAACAAGCCATAATTACATAGTAAAATAACTGAAAGAAGCAACAGGGATCTCACAATAATGATTGTATCATGGCAGCTTTTAGATACCTGCACCTTATCACATCTCGCTCCGGAACATTGCAAGTATTGAAGATGCCCAGGAGAAATGATCCTGCCTAAAAACAATGGCAGAGGGAGTGCACTCCTTCCCCAGTACATCCTTTCACCAGCTCACTGCTGACCCAGCACATCCTTGCCTAGAGCTTGCCAGATGCCCAAGAGTAGAGGGCATTGGCCTCATGGATGCTCTCTACAGAGTTCATGAAGAAACAACCGTTCCCAGTGCAGATCAGGACCTTCCATAGCCCACAGCGTGCAATGCTCAGGGGTCCAGGCAGGAAGAGAGTAATGAAGATTGACTTTTTGGATAACAACTCTCATCTCCAAAAGCCCTGATTGTGTGATAATCCTGTCCATGAGAATTTTGCTTTTGTGCTCAAAAGAATAAGAGAAGCCTTATGTCATTTAATTCTCTTAAGATACAACAGACAAGAAAGGGGATAAAGAAAAAAAAAAACCACAAAAGGGAAACTAACAGGAAAACCAGGCCAGCATGGTTTAGGAATGAAATCCTGGTGTTTCCACTGATGCTGATTTAAGTCCCAGTTTCTCAGCAGGGCCAGATCCCCAAAGGTATTTGAATGTAGAACTAGCACATGAAACAAAGACGAGGGTTGTACTTAATACAGTTGTGTGAAACCCTTTGATGGTAAGCCCTGAAGATAAGGGAGTGATATTCAAACTCACTAGAGCATAACAGTCTAGTTTAACTTGGCTGAGAGTCAAGCACTGTGTGCTGTTCCTACACAATGTAGGAAACTGCACAGTGGCTGTGTTCAATAAATAAATGATGATAACAAAATCTGAAGAATAACCAGAAGAATACATGGAAATGACTTACGTGTGAGATTCCCTTAGATACAACTCTTTGCCTTCAGCAAAGTGAAATACACTTCCACTGTAGGCTTATGGTAAGACAACTATTACTTTATACCTATTATTCCAAGTCAGCAAAAACAATAATCTGAGACTGCAATGGGTCAAATAGTCTATAAGTTATCAGGCAGATTATAGTGCAGGTCTGTGGACCAAATAGATGATGCTCTGGAGACAGTGAGTGAAGCATTAAAGATATCTGAATTCTTCCCTTAACATACAGCCCAACCTTTGCATCTTGATGATCAGCGAGGCTTGCTTACAGTGCATTGCTTGTTATTTGTGAGAGAGGACTAGGGGAAAATAAAAAGGCTGGATGAGTAAGAAGGCACAAAAGCCTTGATGGAACAATATCACAGATGTTATCCTGCCTATTGTTTTTTCCAAAATGCTGCAGTGAAGCAAGGGATTTCTAGGCACAGGATACTGACATAGGAGATTTTTCTATGGATTGGTACTTTTCTTTTGAAAACAAGTGCAAGTCACAAAAGATGAAATTGTACTAATAAAATGTTTTGTAGTGGGCAAGATAAATAGCCTAGGGTTATGGCCAAGCAGGTGAGCTCCAGTTGGTATTAGCTATACAAAATTGTCAGTGTTGAAAGTGTCCTTGAGATCACTGAGTCTGATCCCCCTGTTAAAGCAAGTACTTTGCAGTTAGTCACACAGGTAGGCATCCAGATGGGCCTTGAATATCTCCATAAAAGGAGACTCCACAACCTCTCTGGGCAGTCTATGCCAGTGCTCTGTCACCCTTGCCATAAAGAAGTTACTCTTCATGTTTGTACGGAACTTCCTTTGTTCAGGTTTTAGGCCATTGCTCCTTATCCTATTGCTAGACAGCGCCAAGAAAAGGCTGGCCTCCTCATTTTGCTTCCCACCCCCTTTAAATATTTATAAATATTAGCCAGACTTCCATTCAGTCTTTTTTTCTTCAGGCTGAACACAGCCAGGTGTAGCAATTGGACAGATCAACACAAAGGGAAAGGCATTACAACAAATGTGTGGCAAGAGAAGGACCAACACAATAGAAAGCTGCTGTAAATGAAGGGAAAAAGATTACTCACCCATTTCTGAAAATTCTAGGTTCACATAAGAAAGTTTCAACAAGAAAGGATCTCCAGAATCTCTTCCCAGGGGCAGTCAGCCCTTAAAAGAGGTCTAAGAGAGATGCAGCCAGACTCCACCCCCTTCCAGTTGCACAGGTGAATTGACTTCACCTGTGCTCCCAGGACTGACCGGGTCCTTTCCCCAGGTGCTCAATCCACAGTTCAGGCAGTGACTCAACAGTTACCATACACCTAGGTCACTCAGCCTTTCCTCATACGAGAGATGCTCCAGGCCTTTTATCATCTTTGTGGTCCTCTGCTGGACTCCTTCTAGGAGATCTCTGTCTTTTTTAAACTGGGGGGCCCAGAACTCTTTGTAATGCACTCCACGAAACCATTGGCCTTCTTGGCCACAAAGGCACACTGCTGGCTCGTGCCCAACCTGTTGTCCACCAGAACATCCAGGTCCTTCTCTGCAGAGCTCATCTCCAGCATGTCATCCCCTATCCTGTACTGATGTTATTTCTTCCCTTGTGCAAGACCCTACATTTGCTCTCATTAAATCTAATTAAATCAACAGGCTCCTCTTTGCCCAACTCTTCAGTTTGTCCAGGTCTTATTGCACAGCCTCACACTCCAAATCAATACTTTGTATTGGAAGCTACTGGCCACCAGTAGACATCTCAGTTACTTCGGGTAGGCATTGAAGATCCAGCCCAGCTTCTAATGTAACTGGAAGCACTGCTGTATTGGAACAAGTAAGCAGCTATCCTCTGGCTTGGCTGCTGGCCTCCAGCTATGATCAGGGTGGCACAAGGCATGGGACATCTCTGCAGACAGCAAGGCAGCAGAGCTGTGTTCACAGCCAGCGAGGAATTCTTGAAGGGCAGTACCAGTGACTTGCCATTGTAATAGACTCAGACTTGCTCCTGCTGTAGATGAGGCTGATGTCCCACAAAATACAGCTGGGATCAGGATGAAAATACAGGGCCATATCATCCCTGCTGCTGTGATAATAAAATATTGTCTTGTTGTTATTAATACTATATCAAGACAGGAATCACATAGACAAATGTCTCTAGATGAAATACATTTAAACTAGGTTTAGGGCATATCATCAAGCACCCATAGAAAACCTGTACTGAAGGAACAGAGAGACAAAGAGGACTGGAAATGATAAGAAACTTCTTTGTTGGCCAGGTCTCTGTACAGTTTTATTTTTTAGAGGATACACTTAAAAAATACTGAACCATGTTATTAGCATCTAATAAATATTTACTCAGAAGAGTTAACTGTGCTTCACAACTGAAGTGAGATTTGCAGAGGACAAAGTAGTGCTTCTATGAATCAGTTGAACTTTATTCTGCATGTGACAGAGCAAAAAAAAAAAATCATAGAATGATAGAATAATAGACTGATAGAACCATAAAATCACAGAATGCTTTGTGCTGTAAGAAGCTTTAAAGCATACCCAGACCTAACCCCCTGCCATGGGCAGGGACTCCACCCACCAGCTCAGGCTACCCAGGGCCCCAGCCTGGTGATGAATGCCTCCAGGGATAGAGCATCCGCAGTTTCTCTGAGCAGCCTATTCCAGGGTCTCATTATTCTGTGAGTAAAGAATTTCTGCCTCAAATCTAATCTGATTCTCTCCACTTTTAGTTTAAAGCTGTTCCCCATTCTCCTATCACTGTCAGATCATGTAAAAAGTTGTTCCCCCTTCTGCTTGTAAGCTCCCTTCAAGTACTTGAAGGCTACAAGGAGGTTTGTCCGTAGCTTTCTCTTCTCCAAGCTAAATAAACACAGGAAGGAAAGAAAGTGGAAAAGTCATCTCTCTTGCACTTGCTATTGGGTCTTGTCTTCCATCTCTCTGCAGAGAGGAATTTTACCCCCCACCACTTCCAACACAGAATTTCCTTTGGATGATTCCTAACTTTCCTGCCCTGTTCAGATAAAAGCCACTGCCTGGAAGACCAGATTATGAGTATCTCAAAAAAGCGTTTCCACCAGGGGACAACACCTCCCAGGCAAACATTTTGGGCAAGAGAGTGAACTTAGGATCTCCAGTAGGAAGACCACAAGCTCTTTCCAAAGAGGCTAAACACTAGCAGAACAGGTGTCAGACAAAATCCACTCATCACAGGTGAGTCCTCATGCTTGTAGGGTCTGCCACAGCTGCCCCAGCTGTGTCAGGATTCCTGGAGGGCTGTGCGAACTGGGGAAACACAGAGCTGAAAGATGGCTGCTTGATGTGCCTGGTTTTTCAGTGTGTTGCTCAATCTGAGGTCAGATCTTAGTGAACCAAAATGAATCAGAATTTTTGTGAAATAAATATCCTCCCCAGAAATATTTGGTTTAACTTAAAATATTTTGTTTCCATCTCAAATTATGTTACCTTTTAATAGTAACAATAAGAATAATAATGGTTTCCATGGGATTCCCCAAACAAAACCTTCAACTTCAAACTAGGAACACAAACTTTTTTTGAAATCTTTGATTTGATGATGATTTACTAAGTGAAAACTTAGTGTTTCTCAAGAAACTGCACCTTTATATTTGCACCCACAGGGGTTTGTAATTCATAGTGTTGGGTGCCAAATACTTCCCATCCCGGCCATGATCAGCAGCCAGTGGTTTTGGGGGCATTCTCCAAATGAACCTCTCAAAAAAAAAATTAAATTTAATGGGCTTAAAAAATATGACATGAATCTCTCACTGCAGTGTTCTAAACACACAGTTTTGAACAGCAAAGCTACGATTTTTTACCACCTTCCAGAACACAGCAATGCTTTCGTCTGTCTGAGCTGGCTAATTTTACCCATAAAAACAGCAATGCAGACATAATAAATGTTGCATTCTCAGTTTCATTCTAACTCTATAAACAAACACAGGACTGCCAGTTTTACACTACTACTATCAATATATCTCTAATTTTAGTCATATCTGCATGGTCCCTTCAGAAGTAAATGTGAGCTCTTTTTAATGCCTTTTTTTTTTTTTTTTTTTTTTAATGTTCAGTCTATTCATTCATCAAAATGCTCCTTACTGAAATGGGGGTACAGGGTCTACACTTAGCTATAAAAGAAGGTCTAAATGTTTCAAATTGGGAGGTTCAAGTACTGCTTACAAAGTGAAATCTGCAGAAAGTAACAACAACTAATATATAAATAAAAACAACATGAGTGAAGTTTTCTTGTTAAGCAGTGTCTGACTGTTAAAATTCACTGCATTTGGCACAAACATGGGCAGAAGGCCGTGTGATTGGTGAGAGCACTGCCCCAGCACTGCACTTTGGTTATACAGAGAGCTGGCTCCAGCACATGGGGGTCTCTATCTCCTCCCTTCTGCAGAGCCTCCTCTGCCCACACTGCAGTGCAGGAGCAGATCCCCCACCTTCCCTTTCGCAGATGCTGTGCATTATGCAGCTTCAGAAAACAGGAATCTCTTCAGGCTCCAATTGACCTTAAAAATAGTTTTCAAAAATCCCTTCCTCAGCAAAACTGGATGTCTCAGAGGATGGGTAATAGAATACAGGGGTTTGCTTCCTCTCACCATGCTTGCCAATTACCAAAAATTGGTACTGTTTGACAGCAACACCTGTGTGATTGCACACACTGATTAATGGTGGCAGGGAGTGCATTCCCTGCAAATATGCCATTGCTAAACTGGTGTCACTGCAGACCCCTCCATGTCAGCTTGCCCAAGCGAAGCTGCAGTGAGTAGAGATTCAATTTTAAGTATTTTACAGTTTGGGAACTCACAGGTTATTGTTAGGCAAGTTTTTATTTGTATTATCCCAGCTACAGTCACACATGGAAATTCCATCCATAAGCACTCTGAGATCATTCCCCTAACCACAGTTTTTGGGCTTGCTAACAGTGAAATTACTCACAGAAGGACAGAAAATGTACAGGTTACAGTGGAGCTTCCCTTAGCATACAGGTATTCAGATTGTGGTCAACACTGTGGCCATAGGTGCTCACATGGGATGGCCTTATTGTCTTTCCTTATGTCACTGTCCCCCATGTAAATTCCCGTAACCTTTGTATGGCTGCTCATTGCCTGTTACACGCACACTGACATGCACTAGCATGCACAGACTCCTCTTTTGTTGAATTTAAGACTCCTTTTATGCAACCTAGTCAATAAATCTGAAAAGAACAAGTACATATCTGAAGCACAGTGGGACAAATAATCACACACCAGCCAACTCTGACGATGCTATGCACTCTGTCTAAATATACAAGGAGTGCTTTGATAGAAAAATGCACACATACACACATGTATGCATAGAGACAGACAAGGATATATCATTTATAATATGTGCATATACCCATTTATACATATATAGAGAGAATCTTTCGAAACAGATAAGAAGATTTAGTCACACTGCTTCTTGATGGTAACTGATGCTGTATATCTGCACATACACATGTGCATATGCTGCTGGTACTGCAAAAACCATCTGTGCTTGCACTGTATAGCAACATTTAGTCACATTTCCCATGGAAATTATGATTTATGAAATCATCCTTCATCCTGCCTGCTTACTCTCCTTGAAATTCCAAACCTTTTTAACATCTTCAACCACACCTGGAGACAACGTGTTCATTACAGAATACAAGAAAATAGGCATCCAGACAGGAGAAATCCCCAACATGTATCGTGCCTGATGTAAAAGCTACAGTATGAATTGACCCTCATTTTAACCAATAGAATCTACAAGATAAAGCAAACTTAAAACTCCAGCTATCTTAGGGAAGTTTAAAAAGAAACTTCTACTCAACTTCCAGATATAAGATAGTGGGACCACTGGCTTTATTAGATCCTGCACTCACAACTCAGCTTTGCTCTGCCATTCTGAATAGTGTTTCTCTGTCAATTTCTGGCTTGGATGTTCAGCAAACACACTCATCCTGTACAATACTTCTTATACCCAACATTTTTCTGCTTGTAAAGGGTTGAATGACTCCCTTCCAGAGAGAATTTCATACTTAGGGTGAGTGACGTACATATTTATGTCAGAAGGAATTAGACCAGGACTTAACTGATGGGAGAAAAATGA